GAGGGGGGGCATTCAGCTGGGAAACTTGCAAACTGCACCGGTGCCAAAAGGCATCCAGGAAAGCCCGTGAAGAGACCCCGAGAGGGCTCGGCGCTCTGCTGATGGTCAGATACTGCGCAAAAGCTCGCAGGGAACAATACCGCTCAATTAGGCTGGAATAGGTTATTTTTTCTTTGACATCTCTACTGTGCTTTAAACGTTCAAACTTAAAAACAAGCCCCACGCCGCTCACAAGAATAGGGAAGTAGTAGCTGGCTGGAGACGCATTTACTGGAAAGGACGAAAGCTTTCCCTGTCTGCAGAAAGGTGATTGGGAGGATTAAGAAACTATTTTTTTATTCCTACAACTGCAAGCAAAGAAGCTAGGGGGATAGGATTTCTTCGCAGTGTGCATGCTGAAGTCTCTAAAATGGTACCAAAAATGTCAATAACGCGAACTGCTTAATTGTTATGTTATTAAGCACTTTCCTCACCGATGTGCACCTTATTTAGATCCTAATCTCTGAAATGAGTGTGAAATCAGTTCTGACATCTTTAGAGAGCCTGTCCTGCAGGTAAGTAAAAAATGTGAAAGTGTGGAAGGAGCTTCCCTTTGGGCTGAAAATGAGACTTTGCCTCCGAGTAGCAGAACGGATAAGCCAGCAGGATTACGCTTCGCTATACAGCTTGGCATTATTATGACCTTGTTCAAAAGCATTCTGATGTGCCATGAGGAGGGTATACAATTAGATTAAAGCTCCCAATAACACATCAAATCCCGTACTGAGCCTCTGCTCTGGACCCCGAGCTTGCTTAAATCACTGTCACTTCACAACAAAACCCATTCACCCTTAGTGTCTCCGGCTGAGTTTTTTGTTTGATTACATCAATAATCTAATTTCTGTTTCTTACCGGCCCTTCCAAGTGGGCAAATCTTCCCCCTTATAAGATGGGTGGGGGCTGTTATTTTTAGCTCGTTTCCTGGAACAAAATGTTCCAGCACTCCCTTCTTTCAATCTCATTGCGGTTTGACTGCTCTTTGATATTTAAGACCGTCGGTTTTCCTTGTCAAACTACCTGTTATAGGAAATGGCTCCCATAACTTGGCAAATCACTCTTAAAAAGTAGACAGGAACTTTTATTTAAGTAAAGAAATGTTTCTAAAAAGTTACAGGAAAAATCCCGAAATATTAACCTGATAAATCGTATTGCAGGTACTTCCCTTGTGCGTAAGTCGGCATAGATTTTACCTTAACGGTGTGCCCAACTACCAAAATAAAAAAAGAGCTGATCAAAATATTGCCATGCCTTCTTGTCCCTTTGATAAATACGTTTTGTCAGCTCTTGCTGAACAGCTTTTGGGAGTTCCATATGCACTTCATAAATGCCAGTAAAAATGTGGCTTCTATTTTAATATCCTTGCTTTAAGTAACCTTGCTCCCCCTTCCCAGTTGTCGCTCTGCACTGCAACTGTAATTTCAGTAACCGAATATTTCAAAGTGCATATAAACATTTCCCTCCATCGTCCCGAGGACTTCAACTGAGATTAATACTATCATCTGCCATTTTAACAATATGTCTCAGTGTTTTTAGCTACAAGCTACTCAACATAAAGGCAAATAGGGTTTTGAAGAGACACATTAAAGTAGATGGCAAAGGGAGGGGAGAAAAAATACACTTTGTCAAGTGATGTCTCTTAAAGACTGGATTACAGCAATTCAGACTTTAAAAACTAGCACTTTCAGACCCTTGAGATTATAATGATGCACACATTTATACGTGTATGTAGATACAGTCTGAGACACAAAAATGATAAAAGGAGTTTTACACCTCATAGCTGTTGCTTTGGAAAGTTCCCACACCATTCATGCACATATCTACACTCACGTTAGCAAAAACACTGCAGTGAATTAGTGCCTAATCACTGAGATCTTCTTTATGTGATTTTCTGTCATTTCCAAGAGCATCCTCCTGTACAATGTCCTCAGTGGTCGGGAGCCAGCGACATATCGGAGTCAAATGAATAGAAGAAGTGCAGACGAGTCTTCTTTGTACAGAGAATTTGAAATGTGTTTGTGTGAGGAGTCTAGGAAAGCCCCAGTTTTATGGCTCCAAATCACATTCTCAGCAGCAGAACACGATCGCTAAGCTTGAGAGAAGGGGACAGAATCCTACTTGGGTAGTGTTGTGACAAGCAGCAGTAGCTGCTTTGTTATAAAAATAGTGTTTGTTATGAAGAAACTGAATGAATAGACATCCAGATAAACATTCCCTGCATCTAACAAGTCTACTGTCCTCGTGGTGTGCTGCTAAACCCTCTATCCTTTTTAACCGTTACTGGCTTTTTTAACTTGTAATTATGTACACTGCTTGCCACTTACCATAATTTCAGCACTCTCTAGCGCTCTGAAATTGCATATAAAAAGAACAGAAAGGCATTTTCTCTGTTTATGCACATCGATAAATTCAATTCCTATCCTTACTATATAGTAGCCTTTTTAGATGAACTTATCGAGGCTACTTAAATATTAGACTTCCTAATGCTTCTGTATTTTTAATCCATCTTAGTTGTTTTTTCCTTGTCCTGAAGAACGGTAATAAACTCACTTCGGTAGGAAGGGGAAACCTACAAAAAATGTAATGCAATACTGTTCTTGTTCTTCAAGTTAGGAGCTTTCTCTTTGTATCACTGTTTATCTCACTATTAAAACGTCCAGCTGAGATGTTTTACATAAAACAAGCGAATTCTTTGGTTATGTATGAGCAGCTATGATATGCACTTGTATAATTTCTGTGTACATTTAGAGTGCCCAGCCAGCTGGTGTCCTCTAGGCTTTCTGCATATGCTTTTTATGTCATCAACTCCACTCGGGTAAATGTACGGGATGAAACTGCAGGCTGCAACTCAAAGCAATGCTTCTAACACAGAAAACTAGTAAAGCAGGGAGATCAGCTCCTTGAAAATAGATTCCCAGCCTGACAGAACAAATAAGCCCCCATAAAAGACTAAATAAAAAGTAAGAAACAAAATTCAAGAAATAGCGGGGGGGCGATAGAGGGGACATACGTCTTTTGTTTACCATGGGTGAGCTTTGGAAGCTTCACTTCAGCTCTCCCTCACATTCATTCCTGGATTAACAGAGTGAAAGAGGTAGTTTTTTTGCCGAGGCTACAGGCTCTCCCCCACCTCCTACCCTCGCTCCCCGCACGCCGCTGGGTGCATCTTTCCGCGCGCGCACAGCCGCTGCTCCGGGAGCGCAGGATAAACCTTCCCGAGACGCTCACGGCCGCCCCCC